TCTGCTTTGCATGCAGGAGGTCACAGCTTCATTTGTGGCATCTCTAGGTAGGTCTGAGAAACGCCTCTCTGCACCCGAAATCTTCAGTTGCTCCTACCAATCAGAGCCTTGGACAATACATAGCTACATGGACCACTGTTCTGATTTGGGGTAAGTTAGCTTCCATGCGCTGCTCTGGTTCGCCAGAAGCGGCTTAGTCATGCTGGCCACATGACCCGGAAGCTGTACACCGGCTCCCCCGGCCAATAAAGTGAAATGAGCGCCGCAACCCCAGAGTCAGCCATGACTGGACCTAATGGTCAGGTTTATCTTTATCTTTATCTTTATCTTTATCTTTATCTTTATCTTTATCTATCTTTCTCTTTCTCTATCTCTATCTCTATCTCTATCTCTATCTCTATCTCTATCTCTATCTCTATCTCTATCTTTATCTTATCTTTATCTTTATCTTCGTATGTTCCTATTAAAAAGATAAATAAAATAAAACACAATTACTTTCCCCGCAGTTAGGACCTAGTTGTCTTTCCCAGTTCTTTTGAATGTTAATTATCAAACAAGAACGAACAGCCAGATATAAATGGGGGGGGGGGTAACATCAACAGCAGCAAAGATTTACTGCAAACAAATTCAGAAAGTACATATACTCTTAAGGCTGTCAATCATTATAATCAGAATAGTGGACCACAAATTTCAGTCTGCAAACACCGACACCTGTTTTTCTACCCTGCTAGACTCTGCCTGGATTCAAAGTACCCGATTCTGATCGGCCCTCAACTATTAATTACAAGCAGAGGTTGCCAGAGCCCTGGCGATAAGCTATACTTATGCAGCTCCTCCTCATCTAACACCTGTTAGTTCTTGCTCATAGTGAAGAGTTTAGGACAGATTCATAGGAAGGCATTACAACAGTAGTCTGCCCTGGGATGGAAAAAAAATAACCCCCCAGAATGGTTGTGCTTGAAATATTTTATTAAACTTGGCAGTATGTGATTTTCAGGATAAGAAAACAAAGATCACACGCTTCTCTAAGGGGGGCCTCATTTGAAATCTTTTTCACCTCCTTCCCCTTTTAAATATGGGCTTGTGGCACTTTGCTGCATATGAATGAGAGGCCCTAATGAATAGTAACCTGAAATTGAGGGATTTTCGTTATTGAAGGAAATTAACCTCGTTTAAAGGAAATGAGCATTCAGAGACTGAGTGGAAAGCTATAATTTAAATGATATCTGAAGCCAGTTTCTTTATTCAATGTGTCATTAAAACAGTGGGGGAAGTTTCACAGAACAGCCTCGGGGAACACTCAGAACCAATACCATGCCTTCCCGTGCAAGGCTCTAATATATTAATAAATTATGCTAATAAGAAACAAAGGAGCAGAGGAGACAAAGTCAAAGCATAGGACCCCTTTCAGTCTCAATTTGTAGCCAACCATGTGTAGGCTCCTGGGAGCCAGGTAACTACAGTCTTGTCTCCTTTAAAAGAAACAGCATTTCCCCCCCCCCTTTCTTTTTGCTTCCAAAAAGGTAACAACATCACCACAGAAAGAGAGAGAGGAAGAGAGAGAGTAGGGGGCTTTCCATGGTCAATATGCAGACAGGGCAGGGGAAATCAAATGGGACAATGTTTTCAATGTTAAGCAACTCTCCAGCATATATTGAGCAACAATGTAAGAATCATGAACAGTACACTTTCACACAGTTCCCATTAGCCCCAGCTAGCATGATCAATGGGATTATAGGATCTTGTGTCCAGCAATGTAGGAGGGGCAACATTTTGGCTACCCATGGTCTAAACCAGCACAACAGAGAATCTACTTTCATAGATATATTTTGCAATGCTTGCATTATCCCGCCCCTCCCCTGCCTTTTTTCTACAAACGACCTGTTAATTTCTTCAGCATGGGTTTTTCAGATGTACACTGGACATCTTTAAAAATCTAGATGCTCACAACGGACATTTAGGAACAGGGATTCCAACAAATTGATTTCTTTTCATTTTACCAAACAAATGGAGTAAGAGGAAAAATATAAGCTGCTCAGGAGCTTTTGTATGAAAAATAGGAAATGAAATAAAATATTTACCCCATTAAAAGGCTGCACTTTGACATATGGACAAAGAGTAGCAAACTTTTAACCCAGTTGTATGATACGGTGCAGGTATTTTTGGATTCTTAGAGTTCTTAGAGACGGTGGTTGGCATCCATGGTCCCTGCTGTGGACACAAGTCCTGGCTGCCTGTCTCCAGGCACTGCAGTCGTCTGCAAGGGATTCCCACATGTCACTTCTGCAGACATCTTTGTGACACAGAGTTGGCCTTCCAATGAGCCTGGTGCCTGCAGCCAGCTCCCTGTAGAGCATGTCGTGAGATTATTATGAGAAGGAATTTCTGGGGTTATTTTGACCCCTGCCTTGGAAGAGAGGACAATTTTGCAGAATAGTCTTTGCCATGGTTTTGTGGCAGTTGCCTCCACCACGCCACCAAATGATGCTAGGTCTGGATCATGGCAGACCATGCAAAATGGTGCTTGCTGGTGGACTTGCTGCTGTTTGCAACAGTGGCTGGGGGGAGACATTGGAGAGAGGAGAAGGAAGATATCATGAGGCTGGTGGGAAGTGCCACTGCCAAGAAACTGTAAGATAAATTCTCCTACCCTGCCACAGAGGATATTGAGAGAGATGGTGTCCCCATCTCCCATTTCCTATCACCATTCCTCTGCATCCATCCAGTCCATGACAACCCACGAAGGCAAGGAATATGCCTTCAAGGACACCTATCAACCAGGCAAACATGTTCACAGGCACAGATCAGGGCTGGTGAGGGTCATAGTTTAAGGAGCATCATTAGGCTCACATAGAGAGTCTCGGAGGTCAACATCCAGCCCGCAAGACTGAGATGCCCTAGCTATGCAAAAATGACAAAGTAGATGCCAGGTGAGCATCTCTTCAGAGGATGTTCTTCAGACTAGTGCCACAACAACAACAAAGTCCTTGTCATGGTTATCACTCCCCTGCCTTCCAGTGTAAATGAGTAAGTAGTTCATACACTGTTCTGTAGCTCTCACTCCTCCCTTTGAAAATGAGGTTCTCCAAGTCCAGCGAAGACATGAGAAGGCTAAATGACAACTCCTTAAGGCCTGTTCCCTAGGCCCCACATCTTTATGCATGTGTCTATTTCTCCCGAATATGTGAATGCCTAGAAGGAATCACCAAGCATTCCTTTCTGTAGAAAAAGAAATTCGAAGAGGTGGGGCAGGGAATCATGATATGTTGTTTTGCAAAGATTTAAGACAGCAAAACAGGAGCTGTGGTCCATCTAGTCACTCAATATGAAGCGGTATCACCGTCATTTTTCAAAGGAGGGCTCAGATACTGTCGATGGGGAGGGGGCAGTGAGGGAAAGTCAGGCTGGACAGCTTCAGATCAGTAAAGAGGTGGGGAAAATTTCATCTCCTCCAGGAAATAAGTTCAAGTGTGAAAAGTCCAATCCAATAGCTTGGAAATTTTGCACAGCAGGACTTAATGGAAATAGACGTCTAGGTAGCCTAGTGCAGCAGCCTAAATTCTCTTATTAGAAAATGTCTAAGGCGCAAGAAAGCCCACTCCGCATAGGTTTAATATCTCTAATAAGTGGCCACCTTTTAGCCCCAGGAAAGGGATAGGTATTCATCTTCTTAAATTACTTTTAAAACCAATTTTTCTTCCTCCCCCCCTCCCTTCCCCATCCCCCCTTTTTAAGCAAAAGGGGAGGGGGGAGAGTGGTGAAAGAAAACAGAGGCAACCCAGATGCCTTTCAGTGCTTTGATCAGTTTCTATGCAGACAGCCAGGCTGCCTCCTAGCACCTCTTTAACTACAGCTTGCCAGTAAGAAAATGAGCTGTTTTAACTCTGCAATTATAGTGCCTGCTGAATGCCTGTCATCACAGCAATAGGAACCTGATCTGAACTGTATATCCACTGGAGAGAGAATTACAGCAACCAGGGCAGAAAGTTAAATACCCCCTATGGCTGTGAGACTCACATAAACGAAAGAACCCACAGCCCCCCACCCCACCCCACCCCACCCCACCCCCCAATCCTCTCCCACCCTTCCCTACGCATCAGAGCAGCAGATATATAAAGCACAGGCAGATGATGATGGGGGCCCTTTTGAACTAGCCAGGGGAATAAACACTCTGGAGATGTCCCCCTTTTGATGGAGGGTTTCTCAGGCACATCTATTTCAAGTCAAGAGCATTGCTGGGGTGTCAGTAAAAAAATCATTTTTAACTGTGCAATCCAATGCACGTCTGTTCAGAAGTAAGCCCCACTTAGTTCAATGGGACTTGCTCCCAGGTGAGTGGATAGAATTGCAGTCTGAAAAGAAAAGAAGAAACCCCGAAGAGGTTTACGTTGGTGTGTTTTGTAGGGAGGAAGGCAATTAAGACAATGCTCTTGCTTCTCAGTAGGAGCTCCTGAGGCTGATTTGAGGAGCTTTCATGGAAGTGCTGGTGGTAGCATCCCCTCCCCTCTCCTCAGATGCTTTATTTTGGGACCCACCTTCTAAAGAGATTTCTTCCTCTCTCAAATGTGAAGCCCCCCCTCCCCGCTTTGACTATTATCTACATGTGGGGAACTGGGCCAAATGAAATATTGCCTACCCAATTTAGAGACGAGAAAAGCAACCAATAGGGATGATTCGCAGTCCCTGTAGCACATTAAAGAAAGCCCCTGAATAATTAACCTTTCTGGTGCCTGTAAATTTGAAAGGGTTGCACATTGGAAAGTTTCTTCTTGAGCTGCCTTATGATTTGACTTAAAATAAAAAAATAAAAAACCCTCCTTGAAAAAATTGCCCTGAATGATATCAGCTCCCTGCAGAGTCCAGCACTCATTATCTCCTTCCCCAGTTCCTGAGTAGATTTTCTTTTTTCAGAGGCCATAACAACAAACACCTGAGTCCAGCTGGCTGAGAAACCAAGGCTTGGGAAGAAGAATTCGCTTGATTCTTGAGTCACTGGGGAAAGACCATGGCTCAGTGGTAGGTCACCTGCTTTGCAGACAGAAGGTTCCAAGTTCAACTCTTGGCATCTCTAGTTAAAGCTGGGAAAGAAAGACTCCAGTCAGTGTAGATTATACAGTGCTAGATAGATCCAAGGTCTGACTTGGTATAAGGCATGTGGCTGTGTTTATTTACATACTTTCCAGTTGCCCTGTGGACTGCCGGGTAGTGGTTGAAGGGTGAGGGATCTGATAAGAAGACGCTGGTGTACCACAGTGGTTAAGAGCACGAGCTGTGAGGCAGGAAGTTCCTCATTCAAACACTGCTACCAATCTCAACTTTAAATAGAAAAGTGTTATACTAAGCATATGGAAACTATACCTGACTCCTCTGTTCTCCAACCAGATTTGTGAAGTGGACCTTGATCACAAAGTTAGATACAATGCTTTGTATGCTACAAGACCACAGGCCAGTTCAAAGCACAAACCCACAAAGGCACACAAACTCAGAACATCCTAAATAAATAATAAAACAACCTTTTCTGTAGCAGTTAGCTGATGAGCTGCAATTTTAAATGTTTATGTGGTTTTTATTGCAGATCTATCTATCTATAAATATATATCTGTTGTAAACTGCTTTTATATTTTCTTATGAAATTGTTGCATACATCTATTTTTTAAAATAACATAAATGTTGCTGCTGGTGTGGGTATCATGTGAGAAGGAAAGAGAGATTAGTCAACATTTAAACATTCATTCTGCACTGCCAGTTTTCTATTTTAGCCCTAGGGTGGAAACATATTTCACATACTTACAATCTGTATATATGCACCATTGAATGTTAAATTGTGAATGTTAACATGTTCAAAACAAACAATCTCTCCCAGTTTACCATATATACTATATTAATTTTCAGGTCTCTTCTTCAAAGCCCTTTCTTTAGACAGAACCCTCTCTAGTTCTTCTTTCCTCCCACACTTCTCCACAATATTACCTGTTTCTATGAGAAATGGGGAATTGTAAAAAGTCTCCTGCCCAAGTGATTTTCATAGTCACATCTGACATTAGTCATCTATCTTGTGGCCCCCAGTCCACTGAAGTATGGATTTCTCTCTATGTAAGACACACTTGCAATCACAATGTCCCATCCAAATGATGATCCATCTCATCCTTAGTCCACCTCATCCCTGAAAATGACAGATTGGTCCATGAATGGACACATACCCATAGGTTATTTTGCAGGTCGGGATTTATTTAGCATACCTCAAGTTGGCAGTTGTTGCCATATCAACAGTGTTCACCTTGGATTAGAACTTGATTCATAAGTTTTGATGCAGAAGATAACCTCCTTTTGCCCCTGAAAAATATGTAACTTCCAAGCACGGTACTAGGATAATTCTTAACTCAGTGCATAGGCTTTATGCTATAACTGGAGGGATTGCCTAAGATGGGCATCTAAAGCAAAGATTTCTATAATGTGAGATATATAAACAAACTTACAAGTGTTTGATTCTACCAAATACGGGAATTGTTAGTAATTATGGCACTCATTTCATTTAACTCATTTGAATGTTCTCCATATTTGCCTGAGACACAGACTTTAAGGTTGCTTCCAGATAACCTGATTACTGATTACTGAGCTATCATCCTGATTTGTTTGCAGGGAGGTTAGATGATGTTACTTCAAGCAATTGTTTCCCCACACTTTCCAGTGCATCTTCCTGTCACTCATATTACTACAAAAGGTCCCATTCTGGGAGGAGAAGAGGGCTTGTTGCTCAAGAGCCCCATAATATCTTGAAATTGGGTACCTGCCTTTTCCAGTATGTGACTGAAACCCGCCTGAAACAGTGATAGTCTGGTAGCACCCTCAAAAGATCCAAATTGTCTCTCGGATCAATTTGGATCTTTTGAGGGTGCTACCAGACTATCATGGTTTCAAGCGGGTTTCAGAATCCGAGACCAGGGAGAAGAGTTGGTGGAAGAAAACTGGAAAAAGTTTAAAGACTATTTACAGAAATATTGTAAAATTAATGAATGTTAGAAAAATGTTGGAATGACATTATATGGCTTTAGTAGAAATGTTATAAGGAAATAAGTATAAATAGATTAATAGAGTATTAAAGGAAAAATAAGGTTAGAATGTGTTAAGATAATTATAGGATAGAAAACAGAGGAAGATGGAAAGGAATTGCTGAAACAATTAACAGAAGTGGAATACGAAAAGGGAGGTGTGAGGAGGTCGAGGAAATAAGTGAATGAAAGATAAGATATTGAAATTGTTTTGTTTTTGTATTGTATTGTTCTTTTTTTCTTTTTTCTTTTTTTGTGTGTTTAAATTGTTGGAAAAATAATAAATATTTTTTTTAAAAAAAAGAAACATCCAAATTGTTTCAAGAAAGACCTTTGCAAGATTACTTGTTTGTGCCTGTTTGCTGTTGTCTGTGATGGGGATGGGTTGGGCATTGGGGAGGGGGAAGGAAAGTAAGACATTATTTTCTGGCTTGCATTTTAATCTGAGTTGAATAACTTGGGGGCTTGTAAAACTCTCCTTTGAGGTGAGCTTTGTAAACCCTCGAAGCTCATATTCAATCCTGAGCTTGGCATGTTTGCTTGCCTCCCCAAATTGCCAAAGAGGGGAGCACTTTCCGCACAGAGAGAGAAAAATGGCCAAAAGCACTCCTCTCCAACATAGATGCACATACCTGTTTTGGGTTAGCCCAAACATTTTACAAGGCTTAGAACAGAACCTAATCATGTTTACTCAGAGGTAAGGCTCTAGTGAATTAAAGGGGTTTTATAATGCATAGTTAATAAAGAAAACCATATTGAAATGTTGCTTTGACATTTTAGGGTGGAGGCTTGGGAACACAACACTTTACAAGGTACATGAGTAATTGGCCTGATGTTCTTTAGTACAGAGCATGCATCAGTTCCTTTGATCTGAGTGGAAACCACAAATATAGATGTGAAAATGTGTGGGCAGGGAGAAAGTGAACTATAATTTGACAGTAAATGAAACAGAGTTGCTCTTCCAAGTTTTAAAACTCCCAAAGAACATTAGATCCTCAATAACATGGGAACATGGGAACATAAATATGCAGGCAATTAAGAAATAACTTTGTGTAATAGTTAACTGATCCTTGAGTTTAAATTTTTACATAGCATTCATTTTATGTGTGTATGTGTGTGTGTTTTGTAAGCCACTTTGATTTCTTTTCTAATTAGCAATATACAGATGTAATTATAAATAAAACAAACATTGAACCCATGAAATTCAATGTACATTATTTTCCTGTGTTGCAAAGCCAGCACAATACTGGTGCAACAGAGGAGACACCCAAGGGTACGTTTCACGGTTTGTGATGTCAGGGAACATAAGAGATGGAAACCAGATACTATAATGAGTTTATGGTTATCATTCTCTTCCCAAAGCCAGGGAAAGCTGCTTACGACCTGCTCAATAACCACCTTGCCTTGAGATTACAGATTGTACTCCATCATCACACTTGGTTCCAGGGTTGCCCAAGACGTCTTAATTACTGCTTCCCATCTATATGTTCACAACATATCTGTGCTGTATACAGCTGTGAGCCATGCCATCTAGGAATGGCACAAATGTTGCTGAACTACAACTCCCATCACCCCTGCCCATTAACCATGTGTGCTATGGCTGATGGGAGTTGTAATTCAATGTCTGGAGGGCCAAAGGTTCCTCACACCGGCTTTATGGGACTCTCATCTGACTTCTCAAGACTGCTTCACACTTGCAATTATAATTAACACACCACTTCATTTCTTATCACCTGTTTACTTGCAGTCCACAGCTGAATGTGGGAACACACTCCACAGAAAAGCACTGGAATGTGCTGTGATGTTTTATATGAGCAGGGAAGTCATAATTTCATGTTGCAATTTATTTCAAACATAAAATGCTGCAACCGTCATTTGATTATCATGCTCTGTGAAGTCGTTCCTGCTAAGCAAGATCATACTGGAGGCAAGAACAAACAGTGCTGACTGGTTATAAGTGTTTGCTTAGCCAAAAAGAGTTGGTTGGAAAAAGTGTCGAAGCACTATCCTTTTAGTTTAGAAAGAGAAAATGACAGCTTCACAAATGTTCACAAAACAAACTCTCTCAGGTGTGGGTCTGATCAGGGCCTGAAACTATAACTACCTTGGATTGCATGATGCATTTATATTGCATATAAATTAGAATAGAATAGAATAGAATAGAATAGAATAGAATAGAATAGAATAGAATAGTTAATGGTCAATTATTTTATTTGTTTGTTTCCCAGCTTTATATCCCAGAACCAGGACTCAAGGCAGCTCACATAAGTGGAAACAAACATGGATGTAACACAGAAAGCTAAAAACATATACAGTGTCATAGTTTAAAACAATATAAAAACAAATCTATAAAATCTTGAAATCAAATTTTATAAAAACAGCACACCACTATTAAAAGCACCCCACCCCAAAAAAAGTTCCCAAAAGCCCACTGAAATAAAACGGTCTTCTCCTACCTGTGGAAGAACAAGAATGGAGCCAGTCTAGCCTCTGTAGGGAAGGAGCTCCCCTTGAGACTTCTGGGGAAGGGGGTTAATAAATTCATAACAAAAATAAACACGAGGCAGTATGTAAAATGCCTAAACAAGCTAAAAACCAAATTAAAACACATGTTAACAGGTAGAATGTTGGCAGTTGTTTTAACCTGATTTTAGCTTATCATTGATTTTAATTATTTTAACGTTTTAAAAAGTTGTTTTAAACTGTTTTTACTGATAAATTTCTTGTTTCATCCTTTTTGTAAACCACCAAAGTATTCAAAGCTTGTGAAATAAATAAAGATGCCAACTTGCAAGGCTGCAAACTCACTTTGGCTCTGGCCCCGCTGACTTATGGATCTCTCTTTGCTTGCTATTTTTCCAGTTCCACATTCCATGCCTACTGAATATGCATTGTTTTGTGGTTTATTTCCCTACTGGATTTTTTTATTTTACTTCTACAGCCCTCAGTCTTCTCTCTTTCTGCCAAGCATGGTAATATACCTCTCTCCTGTTGGCTCCCCACTTTAGTTCCAGTCCTGTCA